GGAATACAAGGAAGGGGACATTGTCTGGGTTAAGACTCCACGTGGTAAATGCACGACCAAATTTGGAACCGGACGTGTGACCGAGGTGGTGAGTCAGCAGTCAGTGAGGGTCGATGGAACGCCTCGTCATGTTAGAGACCTGCGCCTTTTTTTGGGCTCAAATCCCACAACTGACGAAGAAGACACGGAGGATAGTGAACAGCCAATATACATAGAGTTGGATTCAACAACCAATCACTCCGATAGCAGTAGTTTGCCAATAGATCGGGACGTGTCTAATGAGAGCTCCTCTGATGAAGAAGTTCAACCAATCCCCCTTCGGAGGAGCACCCGGAACAAAAAGACCGTATCGTCACTGTCATCTGTGTGATCAGGAGATCAGGGGAGTGTGGCGGACATGAGACAGAACCTGGGACAAGCACAACTGGTCGCGATTTGCCTTGTCCCCGCCAAAAAAAGAGCCCGTATTTGCTTAGCATGTAAAGCTACTGCAGTTGAAATGAGGAGAGAAAAAAAGCACTTACCGCTCTGACGTAATCCATCCTCGGCCAGATAATGTAAAAAAGAATGAGGGGGACTGGCATCGCATTTTTATCCAATAACGATGCAATGTATTATGGGACATGGACGCAATGCATTATGGGACATGGGCGCAATGAATTATGGGATCACAGGAAGACGAGGGATTATGGGTACATGAACAACTATAAAAACAACTACTTTTTTTCCAAGTCGGCGAAGTTCTTCGAGGGACGTTCACGGTTGACGGCTAGTTAGTGTGATTTGGAGACAGAACTCAGGAAGGAACGACTCAAGTTTGAAATACCAGTTGGGAGAGCTTGAATTAACTCGCTGGTTACTGTTTTCTTCATTCGCCTCATGAAATGACATAAATTTGATTGATTTATTCTATCACAAAGAAAGTATAAATTTTATAAGACTTATTATAATTAAAAATTTGAATTATTTTTTTTTTCCCCCCAAATTGTAGAAATATTCTTAGGGCTTCAGCTAATAAGTTATTGTTTATAAGATTTCAGATATATATGCTGAGGATACTATGGACTGAACATGGGAGCAATGACAAAGTTTAAAGAAAATGGAAACAAAAAGGAAACTTATACTTAACATCAGGAAGAGACAGTTGATGTTTCTAGAGTACATAAGAGGGCTTGGAAAATCTGATACTCACAGGACAAATTGAGGGCAAGAGAGACAGGAAAACAATGCATGACATACTTAGTGAACTTGAGTAAATGGATGGCGAAACAGGGTTTAGGAGAAATAACAGAAAGACAAAATTTATTAAGAGCTGCAAGGGACAGGAAGTTTTGGAGAGCCATGATTGGCTACATCCTAAGGGGACACAGCACATGAAGAAGTATTTGTATGACAAGATCAACATTTCTACAGCACTTGAAAAGATCTACTGCTGAGTTTCAGTTAGATCAGCTAAGTTGAGTTTTGAGAAAAATCCAACTAGGATATTCTTATTCCAACCACCTCTTTTATTAAATACTAGCAGTAGAGCCTGGCGTTGCCCGGGGATATAACAGTAAGAGATAGATCAAGTATCCACCATCATAAAGCCTGAAAAATAAAATTGACAAAGATTGTTTAAGGTTGACGGACACGCATGTCTTAATTAGTTTGGTTTTTTTTTGTTTTTTTTACGCATTGGTCAAACCCAAACTCAAACAAAAACATTGTTTTCAATCGTTATGAGTCTCTACCGATTGAATAGAATTTTATTATAAACAATTGTCTTGTAAATGGAATTTTTAAAGCATTCTGAATGTAAAAATAAAGAAAAAAGTGTGCAAGAGAATAAGAAACACTACCTGCCAAAAAAAAAAAAAAAAGTGAAGTTTTGTTTTATCGGCTGAAAAATATAGGAAATCCGCTCCCATATTTAAAGTAACCCGCACACACAAACAACCCGATGTGAGTTGTCCCCCTTCCAGTTTCATGATGGCTGTTAATCGTGTTTTCAAATTGATTTTGTGCAAAAACAGTTATATTTTTCCCATTTTTGGTGCTGTTAGAACCACCACAAGGTAATTTTATGTAGTCTTGTGAAGTTTTGTTGAAATCGGTTGAAAAATGTAGGAAATCCGATCCAATATATAAACGTTACAGACAGACACACACACACACACACACACACACACACACACACAAAATCTGCGTTTTATAATAACTAAGATTCAGGAATTTCCTCTCCCCCTTTGACCCTGCATATTAGTCACCTGGGGTGTTTTGTTATCACCAAACTTTTAAATTCCTTGTAATTCCTAGTTGGTAACTTGTTTCATTTGCTCCCTTTTCACTACTTTCCTGACTCAGTAAGAGTGTGTAGCATGCAATGTGATGCAGTTGTAGCTCAGTTATCATGTGAGGTAGACACTAAGGTGGGGTGGTGCTATCCCTTTTTGGAAATCAGGGTTAAGTCATGGTTAAGCACCAAGCTTACTAGCGCAAAGCTTCATTACTAAAAATAACAATTCCACCTATCACATTTATTACCACCATGCTAATCAAAACTCAAATGTATATGGCATGTGTGTATATATATATATATATATATATATACACACACCTGTATGTATGTATGTATGTCAGAAAGAGTATATCTGTAAAAGGACAATATAAAAAAGACAAAAGGAAAACATATCTTAAACGACACATTTTGCCTTGATAAAATCTCTGAGGATGAAATGCATCAGTTAAGATATATTTTCTTTTTGACATTTTTCATATATATAGGATTAGCATTTGTAACTATGATACTGTCATTGTTTTTCTTGACTCAAAGTCTATTGAATTAAGTGAAATAAAGTCACTTTTCAACTATACAGCAGTTTGCATTTCTTAGTCATATTGATGTTTTTTTTTTGTTTTTTTTTACTGCTTTAATAAATTATCCCCTTTTTTGTCTGTGCTCTGAAGAAATAATTCCTTGAAAATTTGAGGGCCATTCATGATATGAAGTCAGATTTAGAAGAGAAGAAACAATGGTCTAATTAATTACTTCAAATTTTTCTAGTATTCCTTTTCATCTGAATTCTTTTTTTGTTTGTTTCTGTCACTTTATTTAGGTATACTTTGTCTAGAGAAGAGTTATTTAACACCAATCCTTTTGGGAGATAGGACATGTTGTTGAATTTCTCTTATCCATTTTTGATTTTCAACAATTTTCTCTTATCTGTGTAATTCAATATAATGTCCTTAGTATGTAGCAGAATACATTTTTTATTTCTTTTCTTTTTCATCTTGATTTCCTTTTATACCTACTTCAATGTACTACTACGAAATGCTTGACTCATTTACTGAAATATAAAAACTAGATTTATGGTGTTTTCTTGGCTCATAGGTACCTCCTTGTGTAAACCCTGATCAAACAACCAATTTATTTACTAACTAAAAATTAGGAGTATGTGTGTATCTGCCTGAAATAAATAATTAAAAGAAAAGATTGATTTTTAAGAAATTAATATAGTATCTTTTAAAAAAATGATGCAGTTATTTATGTCTGTTTCATTTTGTCTTTCTCTGTTGAATATTTAAAATGTTTCAATTACATAATTCTTTTTTCTTTTCTCAATCTCTACGTGACAACTTCAACTATAATATGTAACAAACATTCAAATAAAAGCAGCTTTTTAATTAAGCATATAAATTAAATTTTACATTTAAATTTTTAGAAAGATCATTGAAGTGATGATAGATTTTAAAAACTCTCCAATATTATTTGACAATATGGCTTTTATTTTTTTAGCTCAACTGCTGATGTGTTAATGATTATAAGTTCTATGCTAACAGTTTCTTTCTTTTGCACTTCTCGCTTGTGGAACTCTCTTCTGGCTCCATGCTTTCTAGCCAACTTTGATCTTCAAAAATTTAAATATACTGTCAATCGTTACCTACTGTCTTCCTGATTACTCTTTTGTTCTCACTCCTTAGTAATGTTTCTATTTTCTTCCTTACTCAGTTACCGCTTGTGTTCTAGTAGGCGTTACTACCTTGCTTGGGGTGAACTCAATTTAAAAAATAAATAATAAAAATATGAAATATAGCATCAGAATTAGTAACATTTGACTTCGATTAACCTCTTCTAACTTCTTTTACACTTCACGTATACAGGCTCCACACTTGATCATGTTTGTTTCTGGTATTTTCTTACTGTTGCTATTTTTTCTTTTTGGACTCCTACTCTGTTGATCTTATGCATTACAGATTAGTACAAATTACAGTCTATTAAGTGATTCGTGCTTTTAGGGAGGTATTATAATAACTTGTAGATTTTGTTTCATATTAGAAAACAATGAAAAATACTGAGACTTGTCTAAGAGAAACAAAAAGAAAAAAAAGAAAGAACTATAATTTATCATCAACATTAATTAGCACAAGGTTTCTTGCTAAAATTTTGCTTGGCCAAGAGCTACAAGTGTAGATGTTTATATATTTTCAAGATACCCTTTGTGGTGTGAAAATAAGAACAAAAAGACAAATAATGTCTGCATTGGTTCACATAAAAAAAAAAAAATTCATAAAATAAAGCTCTCTCTTTCTCTCTCTCACTCAGTTGTCATCATCTCCAAACATGTCTATCAGTCACCTTCTCTTGTATCTGTCTGTCTTCCTGTTCATCCAATATCTATCTCTCTACTCTAGAGAATACTGAAAAGTTATCAGCCTAACAATGATGCCCTTTCCTCACAAAAAAGTGAAAAACAATCTGAGGTACTTTTCAGTATCTTCTTAGATATCAGAAGCCAGCTTGAGCTAATGCCAAAGTAGAAATACATACCATTTGTCTGAAGAAGTTCTGGAGTTTATGGCACTAATAAATTTCCCATATTGTCATCCATTTGCCTACATACCTTTTTAACTGCAATCTGCATACTGTAATATTTCATTAGTTGTAAAACACACATATTTTTTACCTTAAATTATTGTCTGATATATCTTAATATTTTTGTCATTTGTTTTTTACTCAGGCGAACCCTCCCCAATTTGACAAAACTGAGGATCTCACAACTCTTCGATACCTGAATGAGTCAAGTATTCTTCATATCCTTCGTCAGCGGTATGGTAGTAACCTTGTCCACAGTTATGCTGGACCTACCATGATTATCATCAACCCCATGGCACCTCTGTCCATCTATTCAGAAAAGGTAAGGTTATTTTGTAAGTTTGTTTTCCTAAGTAAATAATTATTATTAACAATTTTTTTTATTTTTGCATACACTGAGCTGTACCATGCATTCAGGTAAACTAAAAGATTAAGTAAACAGATAATTTAATTGGCAAAACCTGAAATTAAAAAAAAGTATACTTTATTTACTAAAGAAACCAAAATAATGTCTACAACCAGTAAATTAAACCCAAGAATTCTAATCTAATAGAAATTGCATTCCTAATTAAAAAACAACAAAAATACATTATATTCCTAATGCCTGATTTCTTGAAAAGATATAAAAGACAAAATACAAAAGCACATATTGCTACAACACGAGGAAAAGTTGAATTGATTCTTATTTTATATTTCTCTTATTGGAACACTCAAGGCAAATATTCATATTCAGCACAAAATGTATTGACTTTTTTATCAGATTTTTTTGTACTCGTTGTTTTCCTCATTTTGCTATAACAGGATTTAAGACATTGTATTGGGACCCTGGGACAACAAGGGAAATGAGGCGTGGGAGCCAACGTGTTAAAGAATTTGAAAATTACAGTTTAAGTAAGAGTTCATGAAAAGATATCATTTATTAAGCTAATTGCTCACATATGGTAAAATAAATCCTGACCTGATATACTTTATCTTGAATATATTAATTTGATCATATATAAGCTATGAGACTGGAATAAAGTATTTAAAATATTTTAAGTTTTATCACGTTTCATATACACACACACAATATATAGCTACACATGACTATCATAAAACTATTTAGCCATTTTGAATAATTTGAGAATCCATTGTGTAACTTTTAATGTATTAGGTTGTTTGGAAAATAAAGTCTGATTTTAGAATTGGCTTTTATTCCTAAATGAATGTATTTAAATGTTGTTTAAATCAGTAAAAATAGGAACTCTGAACATTTATACATTTCAACCATCATCTTACAAGTTTATGCCTTTATATATAAAACTCTAGAGGTTTGGATACCAAGAAATCCTTTAAATGCAGTTTCTGCATCTCCTTTACTATGGAATGTCTTTTGGATAAAAAAAAATTAAGATGCTTGAAAAATTGGTAGTCAGTGGGTGAGAGATCAGGGGAATATGGTGGATGTGGCAAAGGTCTTGTATCCCAAGTTGATGAGCTTCTACAGTGTCATCTTGGCAACATTTTTATGCAACTATTGTAATAATATATTAGAGCACAAAAGGGTTTTTTCTAAAATCAGACAATATTTTTTGAATACCCTAATAACATGGCAACCAATCAGATGGGAGCTGATTGCACATGTGTAAGCAGATACTCTTCAATGTTGTTACTCAGTAGGCAGTAAGACTCTATTGAGTGAGCTTGTCTACTGTGTGGCCACCACATTCATAATGGTAGATGTCTTGTGCAGGTTTTTCTTTTCTCTTTTTTTTTTTTTTTTTTTTTTTTTTTTTAAATAAAAAAAAAAAAACCTTGCATCACTCAGGTCTGTAAGCTCTCTTGCAGTCCAGACTTGTTTCCTTATAATTTGTGTCTTGTCCCCAAACTAAAAGATAAGATTAAGGAGACTGCAACAAGGTAGTTAATGATAAGCGCAAAAGGGCTTTGCAGATATTTTTGAAAAGTGGAATGGATGCTGATGTAAGCATTTGAAGTGCTAATAAAGTACTTTAATTGAACTAAAGTACAACTGTCCATGATATGTCATTTTTCCTTTTTGTTCCATTACTAAAATGGCTGGTTACTTTCTGGACAGACCGTATAGCATTGCATGCTCGCAGAGGTAATATTTTAATAACTTTTTGAACAGTCTGCATTTTGCAAATATTCGATTTAATAAGTGACTTAAATATGTACCATTAATTTATAGGTTTGCTTTAAACTATAGTTTTCAATTCTAACTTGAAAGGAAAATTATGTTGTTTGCACTCAGGGGTGATTATTGAATAATATAGATTTTTAAAAACATGAGCAGACACACTCTATATGCGCATGTTTTTTAAAAATTACTTTGACAATGGAATGCAGATTTTATTACTGTTACAATATGTTTAAAAGAAACAATGAAGCCTTCCCTGGGGAATTTAATCTGAACATCAAGAAACTGATTAGACAACTGGAAAGGATCAGTATAAATATAAATAGACATAATATGTCTATATTATTCAATGAAACATGTTTGAATGAAGGTATGCTGGTCCACTGTTGCGGAAGATTTCTTTTTGCGAGGCATAATGCTGCCATATAAACAAAAAACTACAGAACTCAAAATTGATCACCGCATTTAAGTATTGCTTTAATATTTAAGCTTACCTTCTAAAGGTTTAACTATAATTCTTCTATCACAACTTGATTTAAAAACAGTTTCATGTATGTATGACCTTACTTTCTGTACAAACAATTATTTCTATTTCATGAGTGACTTTTGGTGGATTTCACAATTAATTTTGATTATTTCTAAATTTATTTCCAATCCAAAATTTCTGTAACATGAGCTATTGAAAGTTCGAGTTGTATCCCTTTAATTAAAAAAGTGTGACACACTGACATTTATTTTATATATATATATATATATATATATATATATATATGCTATCTGCCTTTTGCCTTGTGGCACATAGGTGATGTTTCTGTAATCAATTTTTCCACAGTATAGGGTGATTAGTTGCACTACCAGCATCTATACTCTGAGGAAGGGTTGATTTTCTGTCACAGTTTTTCTTCCCTTCAGCAACTATGTGTTCCCCTGCTAATGAGTTCTATCTACCTGGGTTTGGGAATTCAGAGTTTTCCTTCTCCTAGACTGGTTGTCAACCAAGGCTGAAGAATCTAGTCTGCCCTCCTATTTAATTCATACCTGCAAATGACTTCATATAAACCCCAGATTAAAACTGTTGATTATGAACTGTGTTCAGTTGTTCCTTAGTGTGTATGTTAGACCCTGTTATTATCTCATATGAATGAGCCATTCCTGTTTGATTGCAAGTTTAGATGAAAGAAAAGGTATATCATAGAGACTGTTTGGTTTTAGAGAAAGGAAGGAAAAAGAAGGAAAGAATAAATGAATGAATGAAAGAAACAAAGGAAAAATAGAGGAGATAATAAAATTCATTTGCTTCAATGAAATTGAAAATTTTGTCAGTTTTTAATCTTTTCATTTGTACCCCCTTACTTCTTAAAATAATGACTGGCACTCATGTTTATGGTTTTTATTGTAATATTTTAAGTTGTTAAAATATTTAACAATGCAATAGGAGAATTTCCATGGATAATTTATAGTTGTGGGACTTGCAATTAAATTAAGAATTATGACTAATCAGAAAATATAAGTAGAAAAACCATGAAATTTTCACAGGTGCTAATATTAATTAATGTGGGTGTCATAGTATGGCTTTAGCTAAGTCCTCTGCTGAAGCAGTTACCTTTTTCAGTATCTTTAATATATTTTCATGTTCAAAAAGATATTTTTATAACACACACATCAACTACTGTGTCATTTGTCAACTACCCAACCAGAAGTGATAGTATGAAATCATTTGCAGTAAATCTCAATGGCATTGAATTGTTCATGCAGGATATTTTAAAACTTAATCCACCACCAAAGTCGATAAGTGCAGGTGCTATTAAATAAATGTTCTCTTTCTGATACATCCTCATGTTATCCATCTTTTTCAAAATTCTGTTTCCTATTAGTGTCAGCAACATGGTAATAGAGGCAATAGATGCTAATATTGATAAGTGTGCACTATTGAAAAGCTAATAAAAAAAAAACTGCAGCAAGTGCAAGACCAATTTAACAGTCTACTGACAGAATCATAACATGCATTAACTGCATGCAAATTAGAATAAAACCAATCAAATGAGAGTAGGTGAAATAAATTTGAGGAGGACCACTCAATTTAGGAAAGTCAAGCAAAAGATACTGACATACATGCAAATCCTTTTTAGACATTTTATATCCTTGTCAATTCTGTCATTGATAGTTTAATAAGAACATTTGAAGCTGTAAAGAGAAGGTCTTGATACTTTTTCATTCCTTTGCCAATACTTGTCTATATTGGAAAATCTTCTGATCTCAAAATCTGTGTCACTTGTAGAAATTTACAAAGCTGATGTAAATGGCAAAGAACTTTTATATAAATCAACATTAAAGCTATGGCAACTCTGGGGATCTATAATTTAAAGCCAATAGGGTTTACTCAAGAAAATATACAAGTTGTAAAACATCATTCCAAATCTTTGTACATTATTCCAGATTTTTATTTTTTTTTAATATCTGAAACTGCAACTCAAAAAGTTTGGGCACAAGAAATGGTTTGTTAATTTTAACACGTCAAAATAAAACTACACTCTTTTATACATTTTAGGGAACCTTTTTTGCCTTCCATCAGTATAGTTTAGGCGTATATAGGAGAGTGACACCTTGTATCTTCTCTAGCCAATATTTTCTGCTGACATGAAGTGGAAAGATGATATTGAATCATTTGCTAGGTCTTTTGCTAGCAAAGTTGATTCACTGTGTTGTGCAAGAAACTTTTTCTCACCAGAATCTATATTACACATTTATAAGTCTGTCATTTGTTCATTCATTGAATATTGCAGCCACAATTGGTCTGGTGCTTCTATGTATTTAGAGATTCTTGATAAAATCTAATGAATCTACAATGTTATCAGTTCAGACCTGGCATCTCTGCTTCAGTCACTTTCCTCACTGCTGTAATATAAATTCCTTGTGCCTTCTTTATAAATATTTTCATGGCAATTGTTCTGATGAACTTTCCTCTTTAGTAACTTGATCTTACAGATTTAAGTATAGTACTAGATTGGCAGCTAGGTTTCATCAGTTTACAGTTGCAATGGCTAGATGTAACCAGTCTAAAAATTCTATGTTAATAGTTTCTTTTCTTGCACTTCTTGATTGTGGAACTCTCTTCTGGCCTCTTGCTTTTCAGTCAGCTTTAAACTCCAAAAATCTTCAATCATTATCTTAATTCCTTTTCT